TCCCGTCTTGACTAGCGTTTGCATATGGCACGCATGACCTGATTTATCCATCATTTTTAAGAATTATCGAACGCAAATATATTTACAATAATTAAGATAAGTTATAATCACTTTTTGTGGCCATTTTTTGTATAGTTTTTGTAGTGCATTGGAAATAGTTCAGGCTGAAACTTCACATATAATTGAATACCCCATTCAATCAGCACAACAACAACAAAGGCCTTCTCAATTGGAAGCAGTTGAATTCAAGCCCCAACCTGAATACTTTGCCATTATCCTGAACCACTGCCACACCTATGCAGCTAATTATGCTAAAGCCATGTCCACACTGGACTTTTTTTTTTAAAGGTTTTACCGAGACGATGGTAAAATGAAAAATGGTCAAATGTGACCACTGTCCGCACTTGGACTGTCGACACAGGAAATTGTACCCGGACCGCGTGATACAAGTAACTGTCAGTATAATGACTCATGCAGAAAAACCACACTTCTGTGGGGGGGGGGGGGATTTCTGATGCATTCGTGATGGACGACATCGAAGCCATGCCGCTGTACAATGTTCCGTGCGTCAGCAGTTCCATCGGTATTCGCTGGTTCCCACCGCATGCTAACAGAATCAGAGCTATGATGTAGGACCGGAACCAGTGACTATGGCCTACATACCATGCAGACTACATAGTGTCACTGAACGAATTTGGATTGTAGAAAATACCGAACAAACATCGGGGGAGAAAGAGAATTTCTGCAAATTAATTCCCAGAACGTGATCTCTCTTTTCTGTTTATGTTTTTCATTAGAATATATTTAAAATGAGATTTTATTGCTCGGCATTGACACACCGCAAATTTTTGGCCACAGCACGTGTGGGATCATGAGGTCTCTGTATGCATGACCTCACACTCGGGGCCGGATATATGCTTTCCTGAGCCGCTTTACCAACTTGCACTGGACTTATCGTCTCGGGAAAAGTGACCTGGTCAGTTTTCCTGAGCAGCAGTTGGCCAGTAGAAGTAACCGCTGGAATCAGGAAAAGTAACTGAGAGGAAAACGTCCTAAGCTGTCCACACTGGACTTAAGATAGGAAAAGTACCCATATAGTCTCGGTAAGCTTTACCAAAAAAAAAGGTCCAGTGCGGACAGGGCTTAAAAAGGCCTCGGCTAAAGCTCAGGTACAGGTAAACCTGCTGAAGAAGCTTGCTGGTACTGAATGAGGTGATAATTTTACTACACTTCACACCTCAGCTTTGGCCATGATATTTTCAACTGCTGAGTATGCTGACTAGCCTGGAGTCACAGTCACCACTCAAGACATGCTGATGTCATTTTGAACCATGCACTACGCCTCATTAGTGGGGCACTCACTCCAACACTTCGAGTGCTGCTCCCTGTTCTGTTTGGAATCCACCCTGCAAATATCAGAAGAGACCAACCTATCCTCCATAATGCAGTAAAAATCAGAAGAAGTCATGTTGTCACCAGAATTCAAAAAAACTACTGTTTACATCCTCTGGCACCCAACTAGCCAGACGAACAAAAAAGTAATGCGACCCCCTGCCTACTTACTGCTGATTCTACACCCTGCCTTGTATTATTACAGACAAATATTCACAGATATATTCACAAAGTTTTCCAAGCTCAGTTACTATGCAATTGTTACAAATCAAATGCCAAAAGTCTACTTTGTGTGTGTGTTTTGTACTTAATAGTTCAGCAATAGGATTTCCTATATTGTAAGCAGTTGCTTAGGACATCCTGCATAACAATATTAAACAAATATTTATAATTACCCAAGACAGTTTATCCATTTCTATTGGTTGAGAGCCTGTTACATGGCCAGTCTTAAGTGGTTGATGCAACACAGGCTGGACGTGTTTAATACCAGCAGGAATAAAGGTACCGGTAATTCAAGATTTGTTTTTTTATATGTTTGTTAGGTCATACACATTTGCACAAAAAGTGTGTGAGGTCATGAAGACGTCGTCAAAAATTCAATTATTTAAATCACATAAAAGGCTATTAAAAGTCTGATTGTCTTGAAACTTGGTACCGCAGGTGGGTACATACTACTACTAGTGTACAAATCCGAAGTGACTTAATATGACATCATCCACTGATTTTTTATTCATTTTTTTAATTTTTACTTTTTCTTCTACTAGCAAAATATGACATAAAATGCAATCCGATTGACTTCAAACTAAGGACAGACAAAGAGACCAAGGTTAAGTGAGCCATAAACAAGTGATGTCGATGTCACTTGTGGCGTCATCTAAAAGGTGTATATTTTATATCTAAAGAACTGTAAGTTTGATTGGGTTGGAACTTGGTGTGTACATTGACAGGGACATATTACAGACAAAACTTGGGGTGACGTCGCAATGACGTCATCATGAGACATCATCTTAAAGGTGCATATTTTAAAGTCCTACATCTGGAGAACTACAAGAACAGCTAAGTCATGGAACTGGAAATCTCATGATAACACCATTAATTCCAAAACGAACCATCGTTTAGGCTTTATCGGGCATAGAATGTTGAGCTTCTCCATCTGCCATCTTTTGCTTGTACAGGTCCCTTGTCCTTCCTATTTTGAAATATTGTTTACCTGCTTGGGACCCCTGTACCTCTGCTGATCAACAAAAGCTTGAACGTGTTCAACGCACAGCTACCCGTATTGCTCTAGGTCAGCATAGGGGGAAATATCATCTGAGGATAGACTCCATAGGATGAATTGGTCAATGCTCACTTCCAGAAGAAATTGTATTACATTCTCATTTGTTTTTCAAGGTATTATATGGTCTAGTACAATGTGAATCTATCCATGAGAACCTTCATATTAATCCTCGTCATTCAAACATCCTCACATTTCGTCATCTTCCTGCTCGTACTGATGCTTTATTCCATTCACCAACCCGTCGCTTTCCTAGACTCTGGAATCACTTACCTACTTCAATCTGGGATTCTGCAGTGCTTGATTCATTAAACTCATTTCTAGCCAGTCTCAAGGCACACTTCCATGACCAGCACACATTATAGTGCTTTTAAGGTAATGTTAAGTTTAATCTTCAGAATTCCCTTTATTGTGTTTAATTCCCTACCTTTTGTAATTTTGTTCTTTTAAGGTATTTATGAATGGGATTATACTCGGACTCAATAAGAATGAAACTCAAGACATAACTTTTTGTGCATCTTCGCCACAGCTTCAAGTTATTTATTTCAACCTTTGTTCATTTGCCAGATACCGAATTGATATGGGCAAGCTGGCATCAAGTCATGGGACTAACAGGCCCAAAACAAACATGTCAAACACATAATGGACTCTCAGGTCCCGTACATGTACATGTACGTCAATTATCAATTTGGCTCCCAGGCCAACCATTAATGAATGGGCACGCATATGACCCAGTCCACATCTGTGGGGGCAGCCATGGCTGCGCTATGGAAATACAGCACATCCGACCCCTGGGGTATGTAAGGGGGAGTGGCTGCCCCTTACAAAGTTCAAATCACATTGTATTACTAAAAACATCAATATCAGTATTAAACAATATCAGCAACAATATCAGTAACATACCCATAAAACTAATGCTACATGTAAACTCATGTGTGTACATGTACATGTATTAGGCATGGGCTGTCTTCGAATCCTGTTAAAGACGCCATTCGAATAACATACAAGAGTAGGCAGGAGCTGGGGTGGTGGTGGGTAAATTTATCCAGCTTGCACTAAGGCCAAAAAAAAAAATATTCGGTCTCTGGTCAGACCAAAGTTCCGGAATTGACGCGGCCACGCGGCTTTTTTTTTTTTCTTCAAGCTTGGATTGTACAGACAAGGTAGGGTACTATTTTTTTTTTTTGGTGTCCTCATGTACATTGGTGTCCTCCATAATTTGCCTTGGTGCTTTCGATCATTTGCCTTGGTGCAATTTCCAATTCCTTGGTGCTCTTTGGTAAAAAAAAAATTGAGGAGGTGCGGAAATAGAGGGCGCTGTTGGAGCTACCGCGGAACATTTTGGAGAAAAAAAAAGATCGACGCGCATGATTAAAATCGACGCGCGCGCTGACCAGAGACCGACTTATTTTTTTTTTGGCCTAAAAGCTGTGACAGAATGAGACACACACAGATGTGCATTTTCCCTCCTACACTTTAGCACTGTGTTCTACAGCTGTGTCCTGATTGGTCAAATCTTGGTAATGGTCTAACATGATTGGTTAAAACTCCCTGTTGTGATTGGTCAACACTATGCATAATTAGTGCCAGGATCCTTCTCAGAATCCTTCTCAGGATCCCAGCTTTTGGAGAAAAGTCAATTTTGCAGGTATTTAAAGGGTTAAACAATGGGAATTTGTTGTGTTGTAATAGAGCATTTTATACACCTCACATTATTAAGCTGTTAAAATTTACACACTGACCCTCATGGCAGTGTAAATTGCAAAATAAGCCGGTTGAAACCATGAGTAGCAGTAAACCCATGTTTCCCCAAGTATAATGAATTTTGTCAAAATACATGCGTTGTGACAAAATCTCATAAATATGGGCTTAGTCGTTGTTGAACACTCCGTTTGAGACCGGTTTGGAGTCTGGACGCTGATAATGCACATATTTATTCCCCCCCCCCCCCAAAAAAGGGACATTTTCCTACAAAAAATATGATGGGCTCTCGACCAAAAGGGATGGGTAAACTCTATTAGGTATTTATGAATGGGAATTGAAAGATGATATGAATCACCATACTCATCTTGTGAAAATCATTAAACTGATATTTAAAAATGTACAGTGAAATTTCGATAAGTCAAACTCTAATAACTAAAAACTGCTGATAAGTTAAACAAAGATTCCATTCCCTTCAGTAGTATAACAATGATTTACAACCCTGCTTAACTCAAAACTCTGCTTAAGTCAAATTTTGAACCTGTTCCCTTGAGGTTTGACCTATAAAGATATGTTTATTACATGTAGTTGCATTTCTTCCCTGGATCTTTTCTTTATTTTGTAACAACAGGTAACAACACTTAATCTTGATGGGCAGCATATCAGCAAATTGTCCAACCTAGAGAGATTAGTAAATCTTCGATGGGCTTCCTTCAATAACAATGACCTGACAAAGATCGAAGGCTTAGATGAATGCACACAACTAGAGGAACTTGCTCTTGAGGATAATTGCATTTATAAATTGGAAGGTTTGTGTAAATAAATTCTGCAAAACAAATGCAATCACTTAAAGGTACAGTCCATCAATTGTATTTTGTGCATTTTGTTCATTAGAAGCAGCAGATGTGCTCAAAATCTAAGGGTGCTGAACAACTAAACCTGATGACTTTTTCAGTTCAGTGAATGTTGTATATTCCGAGAAAAACAACATTCTAGGATCTCGATTTCAAATCAAAGTTGCTGAGTCATGGTTTGAATTGGGCCTGAATTTAGTGTCCGAGACATGTTTTCACTGAGCTGATTGTAGCTATGCGATGTTGCGCATTGAATCAACAAATATAGCCATGCATCGTGTCAACGCTTGCCCAAATAAAAAGAACTACTGACTGAAATTTCCAACAAAAGATGCATCGTTGGTTTTCTTTCACTGATTTCTTCAAAATGACAGCATGTCAGAAAAAAATTTACAGGGAGTTTAGTCCCCTTATGTTTTTCAAAAATAAATTACGTCAGTTACTTTTAGGATAGCTGCAAATGATGGACTGAGCTCTAAGCAAAAAATGCAATCAAGTCAGTAATGTTTTGTTTGTTTCATTCTTTTTTAATCGCACATGTTATGGGGGTCCGCTCATAAGTCTGACGCCTCATAGGTCCAACGCATCATAAGTTCAATGTTTCATAGTCCGAGGCCTCATAGCTCTGACCCCCATAGGACCGACAATTAAATTTACTTTTATTTTTCTGTCCATAAGTGCGACGCTTCATAAGTCCGATGCCTCATAAGTCCGACGCCTCATTAGTACGACAGCCATTATTTATTGCATAAAATGTCAGAATGCTAGTGCCTGTAATAGTTAGAGATAGTGATTACACATTGACATTAAGGGATGCACCAGACCCCCCCCCCCACCCCCACCGTAGACAACCTCGCGGGCTTTAAATGTTGGAATTTGTTTTAAATCTCGTTCTTCCCTTGTTGGACAAATGAACCTTTCCTGGTAATGGTCCATAGCTCCAACGCCTCATATGTCTGACGCCTCGTTTTCCAACGTCAGACTTATGAGGCATCGGACCAATTAATGAGGTGGAATAAATAAATTGTATGCCTCATAAGTCCGACGTATCATACGTCAAAAATTTCAGACCTATGAGGTGTCGGACCTATGATACGGCCCCATGTTAAGTTATGGTAATAAAAGGTCAAAAAGATTGTATGCAACCTAGAATTACATAAAAGGGCAAGTATAAGAATTCACGCATGTTACATCCCATACGTAACAACCATACATAACAAAGTTTAACCCTCTGGATTTCAGTGTTTTTTATTCCTCTATTGGACATCTGCAAGGAGAATAACAACAAGAATGTTTATGTTATTAGTCTTTGTGATGATTATTTAAATTAAAGAAAATGGTGTGTTAAGTATAGGACACAATGGGACCTTTTCTTGGACTTGCCCAAAAGAATCCAGACAAAATGCCCCAAGCCTTTTCAAGGTGTGTTCTCTGAACTTTTGTAATTGAAACAAGCAAATTAACATAATATAGAAATGTTGTTTTTTGTTTAATAATTCGTTTTTTGAAAAGTTGAACCAAGAAATTGACTGGAGCGGGGTTTGAACCTGCGACCTGTGGATTATTAATCAGCCCTATCCTTGCGATGCTGTACCAAATGAGCTCCACCAACTGAGCTATTCAGCCCCATGTAATCCGGAGGTCGTAAGTTCAAACCCCACCCCAGTTAATTTCTTTGATCAAGTTTTCTAAAATTGTTATAATTCACTAGAGTCGTTTCCCTTTGTGGTTCATTTGAGCTAGTCTGTAATAAAAAGCCATATCCTCTCTGAGAGATCCATATACTATTTCCCAGGTCTGCATTGTGACTTTTGGTGTGATTCCTGGCTGCATGGCATACTGGTTTATGGCTTATGACTAACGCCCCTTGAACAAAGATATTGACAACTTGGGGAACTGCCAACATAGGGCTGGATAGCCCATTTGGTAGAGCACCCGAGCGGCAATCCAGTGGTTACAGGTTCAAACCCCTGCTCACTATGGTCACTATTTTGCCAAAGAATTAATGTATCAATCTACATTTAATTTGTAATCTCTCATTGCTGTTGATAGGCATTGGTAAACTGACGAAGCTGCATACCTTGAATCTCAGCTCCAATAATATAAGCACACTAGAAGCAGCAGGGTTGGAGAGGTTGACCCAACTCCAGTGCCTAGCTGTTTGTAACAACAGGATCTCATCTCTTGCTGGACTAGCAAAAACACTGTCCCTTTTGGAGTTATACATTGGGAATAATCGTATCCAGAATATCAGAGAGATTTTCAATCTCAAGGTAGGTGCATATGATGCTTATCCAGCAAACAAGGTAATAATACTTGATTCTCAGCAGAACTAGTTTAGTCCAAGTTTGATTGATTGAGGTACCAAAAAGATTGTTTTTTTCAACATGTCCCCCATGTTCCTTATAGGACTGCAATCTTTTCTGTTAATTGGTGTTAGGCTAGGGGCAAGTCACAAACCTCCAAAAGGTTTGTTTTGTGGTGACATAATGGGGAAGAAAATATCATAGGCTACAGTTTACCCTTTTATGCAACACATATCTGTTTTATATATTAACGAGGCTTGGCCTCGCCCACTATGCTGGGCAAAGGACAATTGAAGAGAAATAGACAATTTAAGTGCATTTTTCTAAGTACATAACTCCCCTGTCATTTCATATTGTGCCATTCAAATGCTTAGAATACGGCAATACGTACACTATCAAAAGCCCTGTCAAAGTTGCCATTCACTGGGCTACTTGCTCTGATTTCGAAGGAATTCTTAAAGTGTTTGGACCTCTGTGAACTTAAGTTACGTAACCTAGTTGCTATGGGATTTAAAAACTGTTATAGAAGAACATGTTATTTTTATATTTTTGGGTATTTAGTTTTACCGCTATTTAGGCTTTTTATACAGCTGGTTAAATTGAAGCAGGTATGTACAGATATGTTCAATGCCTTTTTATTTGCATAGGGATCATTTGGATAAAACATCATTTGGGTGTTCCGCTTTACCCTGCCTGTTAAGTAACATACATGTTAAGAACCATTTTAGCTTTTCTAGTCCATCGCCTTTTTACCAATTCAAACTACAGTAAACTCCGGCTAAACCGACATCGTACAACTCGTCAAATCGCTCAAGGTGGCCGTCTGACTAAAGGCCCGATTGTCCGTGATGCATTTCCATTGAATTTTTTATTTCTAAGTCCGCTTTTGTAAGTCGCCATTTCGCTCAAGTCGTCGTGTTACTCTCGGTCCCCTTTCCATAAAAAGCATTACAAAATCCTTTGTGTAAGTCGGCATTCAAAAAATCACGCATTGGCATCGACTTCTTGTACTGCAGTTGGCAAGAAGTGACGAGTGAAAAGTGGTTTGGCACAGCCCGTGATCGATTGCTGCATGCATCGGTGTCGCAAAAGGGTGTCCCAATACCAGTACCTCCTCTAGTCTGTACGCATGCGCTCTGTCCATTTTGGGGGTCGTCTTATTGAATGACTTGTGCTGCAGTCAATGCGTGCGTGGTATACATGTACATACCGGACCACGCACACATTTGATTCGTTACTGTGCACGTACATATGTATTTCCTGATGATTTAAAAATAGCACAGGTTACACCAATCTACAAAAAAGGTTGTAAGCATGATATTGGTAATTATAGACCCATATCGGTATTGTCCACATTTTCCAAATTATTTGAAAAGTTAATTTACACAAGATTAATATCTTTTATGAACAAGCACGATATCGTGTCTGATGCACAATTTGGTTTTAGACAAAAAAAGTCAACTGATCTGGCAACATCCTATGTTCTAAGTAAAATATGTACCGCAATTGAACATAATAATTTCTCGATTGGCATATTTCTAGACTTGTCAAAAGCTTTTGATACAGTCAATCATGATATTTTAATAAGCAAGTTGGAACACTACGGTGTGCGGGGAATATCACTTGACTTATTTAAAAGTTATTTGAGTAATAGAAAGCAGTACGTGTCATATAATTCTGTAATTTCTTCCTATCGAGATATTACTTGTGGGGTACCACAGGGTTCTGTATTAGGCCCAATACTTTTTATCATTTATATTAATGATATCATTAACATCTCTTATTATTTCATTTTTTTTTATTTGCCGATGACACTAAATTTTTATATACTCATAAAAATGTTGATACTGCTATTAGAAACCTTAATGTTGAATTGAAAATAATTAGTACTTGGCTCTTAGCTAACAAACTTTGCATTAATTTGTTGAAAAATCGAACTATATGATTTTTTGTGCCCATCGGTATAAATACACTCAATCGGTTCCCTTAATTTTAAACGATTCCAATCTAAGTCAAGTAAAAAGCACTAAATTCTTGGGCATAACTATTGACGAGAATCTCACTTGCAAAAAACACATCGATGAAATAGCGACAAAAATATCAAAAAATGTTGGCATAATGAATCGTTTAAAATATTACCTCCCCAGTAGAACTTAATTACCTTGTACAATTCCTTTATTTTGCCATATCTAAATTATTCAATTTTGACTTGGGGTGGTTCACCATCCAAATGCAACAAACTGCTCATGTTACAAAAGCGAGCAGTCCGATTAATATCTCATGCTGGTTATCGTGATCGTACCCTTCCTTTATTTGCAAATTTGAGACTCTAACAATTCAATGACTTATACTACTTTAACCAGGGCAAATTTATGTATAGGTTTACACACAATGCATTACCTACTTGTTTCAACCCCTTCTTTATGCTCACATCTGATATTCATTTGTATAATACCCGAAGCACTAGTAGGAGAAATTTATATGTCCAATTCAACAGAACAACATTGTCTAAAAATAGCGTTATTCAACGTGGTACATTATACCAAGGGCGGATCCAGGGGGGGGGGCCAAAGGGGGCCATGGCCCCCCCAAAAACGAAACCAATTTTTTTTTTTTTTATGTGACATCGCAATAAAGGCAGGCAATGAGTACACCACCATCTTTTCCTCAAAAAAACATTGGTTAAAGTGTGTCAGAAATTGCCTCAGATCGCACCACAGAGCATCTAGAATCCAAAAATTTTTCGGGGCCCTTAAGCGGGCCCCGAACCCCACGCCGTAATTTTTTTTGCCCACTTTTTGGGGGGACCAAAATTTTTTTTGGCCCCCCAAAAAAATTGTGTTCTGGATCCGCCCTTGCATTATACTGGAATAGTCTAGATGACTTCTTAAAATCAGCACCTTCCTTCTCTGTCTTTGTTAAAAATCTTAGATCACATCTACTCAATTCTTATTCTTATTTCGCTAGCTTGTGATTCGATTATTTTCATTTTGTTTTATATTTATCGAGATGTTTTTTTTTTTGTGAAGCTGCAGAATGTTATGCCCATACGTCCAAGCTCAAAAAGGCTGAAAAATAAATATATAGATGGAATAACATGGATTAAATGGCCAAGCCAAAATCCTGCTACCATGGCGAGATGGAAGCGTCTAATCAGGCGTGGAGGTAAAAACGAGCTGACCATAACCAAGCGCATGGTGATCCCAAGCGCATGGAAATGCCCATGGGGATCCCAAGTATTTCTCATGGAACAACTGGGGAAAACCAGTGAACCCACGATCGCTCGCTGCATTGTAGAAGCTTGATGCAGCCAGAAACAAAACGGAGGAGTCCCTTGATGAGCCTGGCCCTGAAAGGCCTGATTCTAGCTCAATCATGGATGAGGGAGAGAGTGAAGTTGAAGAAAGTTCAATGGAGCTTGGACGTAAGTAACAGTGTCAGTAATCGTGAAAATCTCAGCCTAGGCCCTAGCCTAAATAAATGAACGTAGGCCTAGCCCCATAAATATGGCCAATTCACTGGACTACCTCCGTACATAATTAAAGGCCACACTTGGAATATGTAGGCCTACCCGAACATGGAGAACTTTGTCAAGTTTTTATTTTCACATTAAGACTTTATTGGCGAGCTGCGAGGCAGATGCGAGCCTATGTAATACCAATTTCCGTCCGTCTGTCCGGGCGCCCGGCACGCTGGACAGACGGACATTTCAGCCAGACGGAATTGTGGGGTGATAGCATTGTGTTCCCATTATCCCTTTTTCTAAAGATTCCCTTCTGGGGTGATATTTTTCTATTGTGAAAAAAGTGGGGTGATGTGTCCTGAAAGGAACATCACCCCACAAGGGTGGTATGGTCAGAACGGCCGTCCACGTTCAGATAAACATGTTGAAGTTTTTTTGGACTAGTTAACTTGGGGAAAAAATTAAATGCAGTTGTCATGTATCATCTCTATAACTTCAGTTAGGTTCATATCATTGCAGTAAATTTTATGATTTTATTGAGGAACTTTAATTCAAGGAAATGTTAAAGTTTTTAATTGTTACATGTATACTGGTATAACATGTACGTGTGTGTATACCGGTATAACATGTACATGTACACTATGCATTTTGGGGATGTGCATGAGCTTCTGGTTTGATCTTTTAGTTTATGGGGTTGGAGTCGGGATGGGGTAGGGGAGGGTGGGGTGAGGTGGGTTGGGGGATAGGGTTGGAGTTAGGGTTTGTGTGAGTAGGATGAGTAGGGGAGCTAGGATGGGTGGGGCGGGGTGGGGTGGGGAGAGGGGTTGGAATACTGGGTTTGGGTGGGGTGGGGATTTGTAGGGGTGTGGTGGGAACAGGCAGGGAGAGACAGGTAGGGGGAGACAGGTAGGGAGAGGATGGGCATGGATGTAGGGGTTGGGTTAGGAGGGGGTTGGGCAGGGGGAGGGATATAGGATCGGAGTAGGGGTTGGGTTGGGGATGTGTAGGGATGGGTAGGAATGGGTTGTTGTAGGGGTTGGATAAGGGGAGGGGGCAGTATATAGGGATCAGAGTAGGGGTTGCATGGGGTCAGGTGGGGATGTATGGGTGGGGGAATGGGGTGGGCGGGATATTGGAATTCAGAACACAATTTTTGGGGGGGCCAAAAAAAAATTTGGTCCCCCCAAAAAGTGGGTCTAAAAAATTACGGCGTGGGGTTCGGGGCCCGCTTAAGGGCCCCGAAAAGTTTTTGGATTCTAGATGCTCTGTGGTGCGATCTGAGGCAATTTCTGACCACTTTAACCAATTTTTTTTTTAGGAAAAGATGGTGGTGTACTCATTGCCTGCCTTTATTGCGATGTCACATTAAAAAAAAAAAAAATTGGTTTCGTTTTGGGGGGGGGGCCATGACCCCCTTTGCCCCCCCCCCCCCCCCGGATCCGCCCTTGGTAAGGGTTAGGGTGGGGATGTGTAGAGTGGGTAAGGACAGATAGGGGAAGATAGGGTAGGTGGGTGTAGGGAGTTGAGGTAGGGGAGGGGGAAGGAGATAGGGATTGGAGTTTTGGTGGGGTTGGGATGTGTAGCTGATAGGGTGGGGATGGTATGGGGAGGATGGAATGGGTGTGGGTAGGGGGTTGGGTGGGGGAGGGGGCGGGTTGGGGATGGGATAAGGTTTTGGGATGGGGTAAGGTTTGGGGGAGGTGGTGATGGTGCTGTGTCTACATGTACATGTATACCCATTCTTGTTCTGCATTTGTGGCGACTACACAAGAGTTTTTACATGGTAATACAAGTATGGGGAGCAGAAGACACTGTTGGGGCTGCAAAAATTCACAACTGGGTCCTAATTACCCTAGCAATGGAAAACTCCCCCATAATACAGTGACGGCTAACCTATATACACGTGTATTTATTAGGTAATCTGTTGACTTTTTATGTTGACATTTAAAAACTGACCCCTACACCTAGGCACATCAACAAGAATCCTGATCCCCTTCCATCATGCCCATCCCCAACCCTACCTTCAGCCTCCCTTCCTGCCTTGGACAGCGAGCCATGGCGGCTTCGCCGTTCTAGTTTCTAGTTTATTTACGCTTTAGAAGCATACTCACCCTCTTTATAGCGAAAGAAAATTAGCCCCCCCCCCCCCCCGGCCCTTTTTCAGACATATGTATTTCGTGTTATTTCCAGGTTTGTTTGCACATGTTTGCGTATCTAAAATCCAATACAAAATTACACGAAATGTAGATGTCTGAAAAGAGGGGACTACTTTTCCAGTGCTATAAAGAAGGCGAGTGTGCTTCTAAAGCGTAAATAAACTACAACTAAAGTCTAAATGTTAAAATAAAAACTTGACAAAGTTCTAAATTTTCGGGTACATATTCCAAGTGTGGCCTTCTTTACTGAGGTATTGTAGGCCTAGTCCAGTAAATTGGCCACATTTATGGGGCTAGTAATAATAGGCTTTGCACAAAATACCCTGAGGATAATTAGCCACGATTAGGCCTACAGAAACTGTGATCAAACTTTAGGCATACAATTGTGAAACATTATCCAAGGCCAAGTAAAACAATATACCAGTGGATTTTCCCTGCTCACTTCTTTTGTATTTGAGGATGCATCATTTTTTGTAACTTCTTTTTTTTTTTTTTTTTTTTTACAACTTCAGATGATTCTACAAACTTAAGTGATGTTCAATAAGTACTTTAGGAAGGTTTTGTGGTCACACTTTAGGTTGAAGTAGACAACCCAAAACTCTCAAATAAAAAGGGCCTCCTCCTTTAAAAGCACATATCGTGTAACTGTAAGCTAAATATGGCTATCTTATCTTAGCCCATTATTTCAATAAAATTTTCCTCTTTAAAAAAAACCAAAAAACGGACGGTCATCTTATTTGTTTTACTTCGCCAATTCTAATTTTAAAATCAACTGTTAAAAACACGTCTGGGTTTTTTGCGATACCAATATTTTGACAATGATGTCTGAACTAGACAATAATGAATAACAGTGAGCAAATTCAAAAGTCTCAACATTGTGTGCAGATTTTGTATATTAAAATAGAAAAAAATGACACAACAAATACTCGAGGTTTATTGTGTATTTTTTTTTATTTACAACACCAAAATGAATAAAATACTGAATCAAACTTTTCCTTTTCCTGACAGGTGCTTTACAATAATTTAAAAAAAAATAATTATGAAGAGATTTCTATAGATTAATATTGATGAGAAAATGACGATTGGAATTACCAAATTAAATTGTTCAGGTTCATCTTCTCTGCCTGCCTTCTTCCAGTTCATCATGTGCTTAATGCGACTAAGTCTTGACCTTCCACTTCTCAGTCTGGCTGATCTGCTTCAAGTTAGCTGTTCAACAGTGACAAGGATCACCACCACCTGGATCAGTTACATGCACCAGACACTTGTTCCAGCCCTACTGATTTGGCCATCACAGGAACACATAAGAAGATGGATGCCGGCTGACTTTAATAATGCATTTCCTAACACACGTGTTGTAATTGACTGTTCAGAGTTTTTTGTAGACAGACCACGAAACAAGGATGAACAGTAGAAAACATTCTCGCAGTATAAAAGTCACAATACATACAAGGTTTTGTTTGGGGTAGCTCCGAATGGAGCATTTACTTTTGTCAGTGATCTTTGGTCAGGAAACATCTCGGATAAATGTCTAACAGAGAAGAGTGGATTGATCTCAAGTGGTCCACTCACATTGATCAGATCATCTCTAAAGCCAATCGTATGCTCGGGCTACTCAAGAGAAACATCCACCACTGCAACAGTAATACCAAGTCCATTGCGTATCAGACACTAGTCAGACCAAGGCTAGAATATTGTTCCGCCATTTGGGATCCTCATCATGCGTCGGATAAAAAGAAATTAGAAAGCATTCAACACAGAGCAGCTAGATTTGTTATGCAAGACTACAGCAGGGAGTCAAGCATCTCAGCAATGATGAATAAACTCAAATGGGACACTCTTCAAGATCGAAGGACCAAAGTTCGATTAGTCACACTCTACAAAGAAACCCATGGGCTTACACCGAGTAATATGGAAGATTATCTGAACATCGTCAACTCATCAAGGGGGTTTCTACTAGACAGACCGGACCTTTCTCATATAGAGTCATCACCACAAATAAGGACTGCTTTCGTTACTCAATGTACCCAAAGACCATCCTAGAATGGAATCAACTTCACCCTAACATCCGCTCTTCACCTGACATTAAGACTTTCAAACTGGCACTGGACAACATCAACATTCAAGACCTGGCTTCCAAAACCCAATCAAGAATTTAGTTGCTGCACACCTGACCCTGACCAACGTACGTCGACAACCTTCTAGGTGTTTGTACGTTTATGGAACAGAAACAGAAACAGAAACAGATAGAAAAGCTTGATGATAGAGACGATGTGATGGCAGATAGGGGTTTCCATATTGAAGATGTGCTCTTGAAAATTCAATGCTCATCGCCCCTCCATTTACCAGAAAATGGCACATGCAAAGGGAAAGAGATTAAATGTTGAGGAAATAAGAAAAACAAGAAAATTGGAAGACTTCTTATCCATGTAGAAAGGGCAATCCAACGGGTTAAGTGCTGGCGAATAGTGAAGCATCAAATGCCTTGTTCCTTACAGAGTTGTGCCCCAATGATTGTCAAACTTGTGGCTGCTTTATGTAATCTTCATGATCCCCTGTACTACTCTAAAAATGAGCAAAACCTGAAGAAGGTCAAAGTGTCCAAGAGGAAACCTCATAAGCGTTTATGAATACTTAGTCAGAGAGCAGGGGCCCATATCATGCAGCTGCTTACAGGGGTGTGAAATCTCAGCTTTAAAGCTGATTTCAGCTTGGTTGTTTTGGATTTCAGCTTTTTTCAGCTTTTTCCCTCACTTGCTGTGGACAAAAGTATAGAAGATTTCCAAAGTTCTTTACACCTTTTTTCAGCTATTTTTATAAGTGGTCACTCACACCCCTGTGCTTAGTAGAAACAGTAGAAAAGTTGTTTTCTCATTAATATTTCATATTGAATTAATTTTTTTATTTTGGGGGATTAAAAGGCTCTTTGTCGTCATAACTGTAATGACAGAAACATGACACAGGCTGGTTTATTGAAGTATTTACATAATATTTAATGAGACTTAATGTTGATTTTTTTCAAATAATTAATTGTAATTATATATTTATTCGCATTGTTTATTAAAGTACTTATATAATATATACTGACATACAGAATCACTTGTGGCAATATAAAATATTAAATTACACAACTGAAAGGAAGGCATATTCGAGTATTCTCTGTTTCTTTACTTATACTATAAATAATTTGAACATCCGAACTGATTAAAAATCAGCATTTGGTTTTCCCAAAAATATTTGAATCAAAACAATAATACACGGAAACTGACATAGAATAGGGTTCAAATCCCCCCCCCCCCCAAAAAAAAACAACACCACAAACAAACAATCAAAACAAAACAAAACACTTTATCTACTTTTTGGGGCATAGACCGGACTGGTGATACACTTAATATCTAAAGCTCTGGAGCAATGTCGTAATGTATCTGGAATCCTTCATATCCCAATTTAATTGTCAGATGAATATGCCCTAAGTGTACTACTCTCTTCATAATTCGAATACGAGTACTTGTATTCCTGAGTTAAGAGTATTAGTCCAATTCCATTGAGCTTGGATCAGAAAATTAAGTGTTAAGCTTTTTTCAACACTTTGAATCTTTTTTCTTTCTTATGTAGCAGTCCCGGGATCACCTGGGACATTGATCATGGGTTATTGTACATAACTGGCCCAGGCCCAGTCGGGCCCCGCACATCACAGGTAGCTGTTTCGCTGAAGAGTAAGAGTAGTACTATTACCCTTCAGGGCTGTGTGATACTGAATGGAGGAATACAAGTTCTGCCTTCTCTTACAACAGTATCCATCTTTCTTCATCAAATTGCAAAGTAATTGTTACAATTCAGGGTATATAGCAACAAGTCACATGTAATGTTTGTCACTCCCATTTGAAACTGCACTTGGCTGTACCATGGTGAGGTTTTCTTCAGGTTCAACCTTCCATCCATCCGCTGTAAGTGATAAGAAGGATCATCCTCTGGGATGTCTTCTGGACTGATGTCCTTATGCTTGCATGAACACTTTATTTCCAGAAGCTTTTGTCCATGGCACTTGCATGAGATGATCCCATGTGGGGATGCCCCCATGAAGGGAGCATTCTTGTCCAGTAAGAGTCCACACTCTTCTAATTCAAAGTCTGTATGTTTTCTTGACTCAGTTTCTCTGTATAGCTGCCTTGCTACAGCTTCATGCGTTTTCCCAAATTCCACTGCTTGACTAGTACATTGTAAATGACTGATTTTTGCCTGAGATTTTATCAAGCAGGGATTTGCATTTGTTTATATCACGTGCAGATCTTCCTGAGTCTGCATTACTTGCAGTAATTCTCCCTTCTCTTGCTTTGAACCAAGCTGGGTCAGACTGCTTAAAGTTCCTGACTGCTTCAATATGCTCATTGTTGAAGCCAAGTTGTGTTTGCAGCGAAGTAATCAACGAAACTGCCATCCTGTGATGATGCTTGGTACTGCTGGTAGAGGTCCTTGACAGAAGGTACAAGTACAGGAGACTGTGCCACTGGTGGATCGTTGGCTAATGTCAGGAAAAGGGCTCCTGAATGTGACTCTTCACAAACCTGAAGAAAACACACACCAAGAAACACTGTCTTGTATAGACTTCTAACCAATCATCAAAAATAATTTTCAATATTCCTGACTTCACTCCAGAGAATGGTGGTCAACTTTGGCCATTGACAAACTCATCCCTTGCCACCTCAGCTTAAAAAGACTTCTCCCTTGACAGCGGCAAGGCAATGAGCAAAGGTTGAGTTTATAAGGAGCAATGCCTAGGGTTGAGCTTACCAGAACCCACATACCATCATCTCCTCAACAAAAATATATGTAAAGTATATAGACCAAGAAAGCAACAACATTATGCAAATTTAAATAACAACTTTATGCAAATTATGATCCGATTTATCTGCATGTACAGAAGTTACCATTTTCTAAAATGCTGTGAGGTTGACCAATCATGGAATTTAAAAATGTGCATTTACAAAGACCAAATCATATAAGGCTGTAGTACTGAATGTGAGCATCCTGACTTTCACTCATAATCAGTTTTTAATGTTACTGACTGGCTTTTTGTATCATTAAACTCGCCTTTGAAATAAAACATCACCTACACTCTATTCACCTTTTTAAGATGATCCTGGATGTTAGCAATAGATGTGGCTTTTATCATCTTTGAGGGAGTGAAGTGCTCTGGAGTTGGACCAGGTTTCCTTGGCATTTTCTTTTCTCTCCTGTAGTCTAACTCGTCCACTTTCACAGGCATTGAGGACTTGTGAGGCTTTGTCCACAGACATGGCTCATCGGTGCCAATAGCAGTCCCCTTGTCCGTTCGCCTATCAACAAAGTCACGTACTGAAAAGAGTAGAGCAATGACGTGCTTACATGAACAATCATCTCTGGGGAAAACAACAAAAACGAAAATAAAACCAATACACACTTTAAAAACTGTAACTGTATAACAGGAGCATCAAAACGCTGCATGTATATCTGTCTCCCTCCAAGTTTAGAATGGTAACACTGGAAAGCATTATGATCAGGGGCATCAAAACGCTGCATGTATATCTGTCTCCCTCCAAGTTTAGAATGGTAACACTGGAAAGCATTATGATCAGGGGCATCAAAACGCTGCATGTATATCTGTCTCCCTCCAAGTTTAGAATGGTAACACTGGAAAGCATTATGATCAGGGGCATCAAAACGCTGCATGTATATCTGTCTCCCTCCAAGTTTAGAATGGTAACACTGGAAAGCATTATGATCAGGGGCATCAAAACGCTGCATGTATATCTGTCTCCCTCCAAGTTTAGAATGGTAACACTGGAAAGCATTATGATCAGGGGCATCAAAACGCTGCATGTATATCTGTCTCCCTCCAAGTTTAGAATGGTAACACTGGAAAGCATTATGATATGAACACGTATGGAGATGATGGAGCGCTAGGAAAAACAGTCTTAGTGATTTTTACACTGGTGCAATAGTGTGTAGAAAAAAATCAGGATCTTTAAAGTTTTCCAATGTTAGAGCTCAATCCTTTAGAAGCAAAATGGCCTGTTTGAATGCATTTCCATATACTCCAGATGGATTGCAATTATATGCATGTAAAGGTTGAAAGGTACCCCCTTTCGTTGTAAACTTAATGTTTTTTTCTGAAAGAAATACACAGTAAAAAGCATCATGAGCCCTTTGGCCCTCCCCTGGATCCACCCCTAGTATTATGAAATGGTGTAAAACTAGACATATGTTTGTGGACAAACATAGGGCTGTTTTGGTAGCTTTTTGTGACATGTGACATGTGTCATGTGTTCCATCAACGAAGGATGTGTAGTTCTGTTTATAATAAATGGTGGCATATAATATGTGATTCCATTCGCATAGGGCTTTGAATTATGACGTCACATGTCACGTGATGACGTCACATAAAGTTTCATCTATTACTATAATATTATGGTAAAGAACAACTTAGCCAGAGCAAACATCGTTGAAAGCAAGTTCGCGTCTTTCACCAATTTTAAATTACAAAGCACTTCCGGTTTCAACCAGAAGAAAGGTTCATGTGATTTATTTGCACATATTTAAAAAATGAAGACCCTCGATAATTCTATCAATTCCTGCAAAAATCATGTTCAGGTCTCGACCACCTAATTTTTTCTTACCTATAACACATCCCGGTCTAGCCACATACCAAGTTTAGACCCAATCAGACTTACAGTTCTGTAGATATAGGACTTCATAATATGCACGTAAATTTTCAAAAATCAATAAAAAAAATTAGGGGATGACGTCATCACGACGTCATAGTCTTGGCATTATTTTTGTATGAGGGTCTTCCTTGGCTGTAACATTGATGACGATTCCAGATCGCCAAGTTATAGAAATGGTGGCTTGAAAACGTGTACAAAGTCAACGGGCTAACACGTGTACAAAGTTAACGGGCTAAAAAAAAAAAAACACTGCAGAAACATTGCACCTTTAAATTTGTAATTTGCATTTGAACTGAACATTTTTATGAAATATTACTTGATATTCTGACCCTTAGGAATATGTTCAATTGAATGACAGCGCGAAAAAAATACGATTTCTCTTTCCTTCTCATAGTAATTCTCGGCTGAAGTTCAGAACTACTCAGTAAGATATCAGTGTTGTATAGGAAAAGACTTGTGGAAAATCCCACTGCAGAAAAACGGCACCTTTAAATACGTAACATAGGGCTTTTCGGCATTATGATTTGCTATTATACGTCCCTGACTATGCGCATGCATGAACATAAAATATGTCAAAGTTAGCCGAAAATCGGCTAAAACAGTCACTGTGATGTGGACAGGATTTGACCTCGGCAACACGTGCTCTGCAGGCTGACTGACATACGATGTACATGTATGTGCGTAACGTACGTGTATGTACATATAGACATTCTGTGCATGTTTTAGAGCAGAGGTATTGTCAGCCTGAAGTTTTAAGCGTGCGCAGGGCATGTCCGAGTTCGCTTATTGCCTCGAAGCTTTGAAATGTTTTAGACCCACCCTTAAATCGACAAAGTAAAAACTAACATAAAAACTGCCATGGTTGATTTTTCAGGGATTTTCAAATGAAAAAGGGTCTTTTTATTATAACTTCCGGTCTGATGACGTCATAGCTTAAAACTTCACACACGTCTTAAGTGGGTCAAGGTCATCATATACACCAATATTTAGGCGATTCCGACAAACTTCGCCACAGACATCTATTCAAAATACATTTTTGCTAATTTTCAACCTGTCGCTAGAGGGCGCTCGAAGATTGCATGACGTCATTGGTAGATGATTTAAAGAATCTTTTTAGCCAAAAGACTAACACTGTTAAAAGCAAAATCATATCTATAACCATTTTCAAATAAAAAGCCACTTCCGGTTTTGGCCTTTTTCGACCGGAAGCAAGGGTCACGTGATTTCACGCACACTGAATGAAATAAAGACCTCAACCTACTCTACCACTTGCCAGTAACAGAATGCTGCGGACGCGTACGGTTGATTTCTTATGCATTTTTAAATATTAAAAGTGTCACAATTTAATTGCCTATAAATACACACCGGATGACGTCATCATGACGTCATCATTACACAATGTTGTTTGAATTAGGGTCTTTGCTTGGACAAAGATTGGTGCAAATAAATTACTGGCAAAGAGTCAAAAATGCCCTTTGAAAATCGACAATTGTTTTTATTTCTGTGTACAAAGTCTATGGGAAAAATTAAATATTCAAAATTCTATGATAAATTAGTCGATGATGTCACGATGATGTCAATGTTCGGCACACAACTTCAGATGCTGGTCTTAGTGTGAGCCAAGTATAAAGTCAATCGGATTGATTTTAGTGCCCAAAGTAGCGGTAACAAAAAAACGTGTACAAATGCTATGGGCAAAATGACTGAAAAATAAAAAAAATAAAAAAATAACAATAAAAATCTTAACGAAAACAAAGGCTGTTTCGGCAAAGTGCCGAAACAGCCAATAACACTCACGCTGCAACACATCCACAACCAGCAGAAATCACTTCCACATGTCTGGTGAGAAGCACCCAAGTCTGGTACCGCTGGCCTGTCTGGCGTTGTTCTGGCTTGACTGTGGCCTTCACATATTCATGGGAAGTTATCCTATGTGTTTTACCTGAAAGAGGCAAAAAAATTAATGTACATACAATTTACAAAAAAATTGCAAGAAAGCTGCTATTTTGGTGACAGAGTAGCAAAATGAAATGAATTTTCCCATTTAAACCTCATGGGTCATTTTTAGTAACCAAAATTATGTGAAATGTGCTCATGTAGACTGGGACCCCGAGTGCACAAACATAAAAAATAAAATGAGGCTAGCTTTATGCATTCTTCAGGCAAGTTAATAGCATAGACATATATTATTTAGACATTGTTCACTTTGGTCTTGTCTACAAATACAGGAATACTTCCTGCAAAACATATCGAACATAAATGGGCAAAGAATGTGCATGTAGTATCAACATACCATCATTACTTATCTGGTCATGTAAAATGCTATGGAGATGCAGGGTTTTTTGTTTTAACCAAATTTTATTATTTTTTTCTCACTTCAACTTTCCAGATTCTGTTTTGGAACATTAAAAGAAATACAAATTGTGTCAAGATATCGATCATTGCCTTTAATTTTAACAACTTCATGGACGTTTTTTTCAATAACGAAAAATGTAAACTTGGCTTCGTTATATAGCCAGTAGGCCTAGGCCTACTGCTAGTCTAGGCTAGGCCCACCTGAAATTACGCTTTCCACATGACAGTCCATGAACATCAGATACCCGTCGTCGCTTTTGTACTGCGATAGCCGTTGTGGTGTCCATGCACAGTTCTTGACAAGATATGCAAAGACGTCTCCGAGAGACACGGATGCCATCTCTCTCAAATCTGTACTCCACGAAACATCACGGTCATTCAAATCCAACACCGTCCCGTCACTCGTCACAACTCTCCGACGTGCTTTCACCGACTCTTCATGATTACTCCCGCCTAAAACCTTATACCTCTCTGACGCCTTTTCTGCCAACTCTACTGACTCCCCTCCCCTCTCTTCTTTCCACTAAATGGAATTCCCTGTTCTTTCCAAAAAATTCTCAAGTTTTCTACTGACATTCGCTTAAACCGAGGCAAGTCGGCCATATTTATTTTTTTGTCGACCGGAACTAGAAAGATGGACTCTCCGTGGCAACCTCTAGGTGGCGCTCTGTATATGGAATCGCCCGTATTCAAACCTCTGTTACTTAGTTTGCTGAATAAGTGGCAAGTTAAGCTATCGGAATAATGCGCTGTGGACAGTGCGGTAATGTGGACAGTGCGTTAATAGGGGTATCGTAATCCATTAATGATTATCATTCCAGGGATTTTGTTGATAATCACAAGGTCAAACCTTTACTTTTTTCAAAGTTTAACTAATTCAGTTGTGAATTGAGCTGCAGAAACAAGTTCACAGTCACAGTAAATTATGTGTTGGGTGGGGGAGGGAGAGAGACAAATGGAAAGTGTTTGAGTATAAAGGGAATATCATGTTTCCTGTTAAGATCAATCATTCAAAGATTTGTTTACTCATTAAAACAATTATTTGCAAAACTGTACTCAAAACATAGCTTGTGCATTGCCCGACTTGGAGTGGTTTTGGCTATGCCCATTGCAAGCTGTTTAAAGGTGTTTTTTTATTGAATTTGTTGTAATTAAAAAGTCTTTGGAATGATGAATGATTTATGGTCTACAAGCTGTACCAATATAAGCACCAGCATCTATAACATACCTCCTTTTGAACACACTGTCCATATAGCCACAGTGCATTCATGCCATAGCTTAACTTGCCACTTACTCAACAAACTTGGAAACAGGGGTTTCTTGGCCTTTGTTTTGGATCGTGCTACTCAGTCATCCATGACGAAAGAGATGCAAATAAGATATCAATGAAAAGCTAATGAACTACACTTTAAGATGGAGCCACGTTGACAGTGTCCACATTCATAACTTTTACATATTAATCTGTTACTTTTGGATATAGTCATTCCACGTTAGTTTGCCATTGACGATAATTCCAAGAAATTTAGTTGAGTGAACCTGCGAAATAGGTTCACTGTTAAGTCAAACAGGAAATGGAAAAATAGAGTTAGTTGAAGTTAGTTTTACTTCGGATTTAGAGAAAGTTTGTTCGATTTGAACCAAGGAAAAGTATGTATGAGTTTGTCATTTTGTTAACCAAAGAGTGAAGATTAGAACTAGAGAAAGTGGTGATAGCGTCGTCAGCAAATAGTAGAAAAGACAACGTTGAAAAAGATTATTGAATATCATTGATGTACAAGAGAAATATTAGAGGCCTGAGAATAGACTCTTGAGGAACTCCATGGCTGATAGATCCCTACAAAGATTCAATATTGTTGATGACAGTGAACAGGTGTCTTTGATCTTGGCAGCTCTTAAACCAATCAATTAAGGGTACAATCCATGACACCATAGAAATCAAGTTAAGATATAAAAATGCTGTGATCGATAGTGTCAAACTAAAAACTTTGGAAAGATCCATGAAGATACCAGCAGTGTAAGAGTGAGAAGTAGAGATACAATCAGTGAGGTGAATGAGTGCCATATACGTTCAATGACCGGGACGACACCCGAATTGTTAACGAAAGAGGGTGTTGTTCTTGGAAGAAATTCAGAGAGTCGATTGTAGACAATTCTCTCAAGAATTTTGGTGAAACAAGGAAGGATTGAAATAGGATGATAGTTGTGGATATCAAGTGAGTCACCACTTTTGAAAATGGGCGTCACTCTAGCAACTTCAAGGTTTAATGGAACGGAACCAGGTAAAAAGGAAAGATTGAAACATGCGCTAAAGGAAGAGAAATAAATATAATAGGTTTAACAACATTGAGCAAATTTCATTGAACCCTGCACTGGTATTTTCCACACAAGTTATTCAATTCAGTTCAAAATACTTTATTTATCCTTAAAAGGCAATTATACGTCATTGGCCAGCTCAATTTTACAAACACTGAAATTTAATTACACGTCAAATATATCAATTGTAAATCAATATGAGGTATTGCCCTTCGACAACTTATAAACACTGTATACTCACCGCGTTACCTCCCGAGTGAAAGTTGGAAAAAAATCACTTGACTCAAACCCAAGACCTCCTGCTTTCTAGTGCAGACGTCTTACCACTCAACCACTGAGCTTGTGGGATTGGTTGGCTGGTTCGAATATGATGTACATATAGCAGCGGGAAACGTCCCCGACCAAGTGACTTTAGACCATAAGCAAGGCTGCTTGTGTAAGTTTAAAAGTACAAACTGTGCGATATTGACGCCTGTGCATGTTGCCAATGCTTGCGCGCGCTGCACCGAATAACAAAACAAACTACTAAATTAAATTTTCCTACGGTGCGTCTTAAGACGCATCGTTGGAAAGGCCTTCTTTCGTTGATTACTTCAAAATGATAGCTTGCCAGAAAGATTAATTTCACAGGGAGTTTAGTCCACTTACTATCTTTCAACCAAGTATGTTTTTCAACAATAATACGCCAGTTACTTTTTCGGATGGCTGCAAATGATGGACTATAGCTTTAACATTAACAGCATTCTACTACATTCTGATTTGTTTCAGCATCTGCCCAACTTTGTTATCCTGGACTTGTTTGGAAACCCTGTGGCATCAGTGGAAAATTACAGACTGTTTGTGGTGTATCACCTCAAGAATTTGAAGGCCTTGGATGGATCTGCTGTGGTAAAGCTTTTTAGGTTATATTTCACCTTACAGGTGCAGGCCGGCAGTCTGACCATCTGTCTGATGACTGCCAACAGACCTTCTTACCGCGCATCCCACCCTCTCTAGAGGAGGGCAAAACATATTTTTCCCAAAAAAATTCTTGTATTTTTCTTGATTTATCAGTTTTAGAGGGGGGGGGGGGCAGGGACATTTTGCCCCCCCCCCCAACTCATTAAATTTACACCACTATGACTTCGCACCTCTTTTTCTTTTCTTTTTGTCTCTTTTTTTTTCTTCCTTTTTTTTTTTTTGGCTTTTCCGGGGGGGGGGGGGGGGGGGGGGGCAAGCGCCCCCCCTTGCCCCCCCTCCCCTGTCCATCTGTCTGACCATATGGAACCCTTAAAGTGTACCATTTCATTGCTTTTAAGAAGAATTTCCTTGGCCTGTTGAGTCTTATCCTTAGTTCCTGACAGTTTTTGGCACCGCGACTCTATTTGCTAGTGTATGCCCTACACAAACATTTTCCGACAGAGAAGTTGTGGATTACAAAAAAAGTGGCCTTCTAAGTAGTAATCACAAGCTTTTGATTCACTATTAAACCGGGCTCTCAGTGTCTAGCTGAAAACAGAGAAATAATCACTTCACCTTTTACCTGAAATATCTTAGGCAAAGCGTTCTGACACAGACAGAATTTTTGTAAGCAGTTAAAAAAATTTGCCTTATGTATGTATGTTTTATTAAAGATGTCTTTCTCTTTCCTGTGAGTAGATGCAATAACTCTTTCTGTGTGGTGATCCACTACTTTTGTCAGGTTATAACAGTTTTGTCAGTGTTTTTAATGTTGTGTTGCTTTCGTAGGAATCTTCAGAAGGGGGAACTGCCAAGGATAAATTTGGTGGTAGGTTGACACAAGACTTCGTGGCAGAGAAACTAGGTCACTCTAATTTTCATGAAGTGCGGGAGCTCGACTTTCCCCAGAGTGCTCTTCGACAGGTTGACCTCGGCACAGGGGAACACTTTATTAATCTGAGAAGGTAAAAATTACAATATGTTATTATTGTAATCAAAGAGTCACTGCGAACTTACAGACCAGTTGCACCCTGGTAGCACACATTATGATAGCCCGTCGTTGGAATTTAGTTGAATTTAGTCTGTTAATGGGGCATTGCAAATCCCGCCTATGTCAGCTCGACCTCGGCAACCGACGTCAGATGGATATTCGAATGACGTTGTACCGACCCCACCTTTCACACTGAGGCCCAATGTCAATACGACGTTCAGCAAAAGCCACATTTTTGTTTTCCTGCCGACAGCGTCCCTACCTATAACCGACAGTACTGATGTACAGTTTCAGATGACCTGACATTGGCAGGTTGTATTATGAAGGCACATTTTCCAACTTCCCCCAACATCGTTCTGACTAACATATTCAGCCTGTTTACCAACTCCCTAAATCTGTTTGCCCGACATTAATAACACCCCTTCCCACATTTCCTCTGACGTTGGTCTGACTGAATACTTACCCGTAGGCCCAAGGTTCCAAAGTCCCATTCCCAATTTCCACTTGACGTCGGCCTGACTCTGTGATTTAACACGTTGTACCCGTCAATCGACTACCTAAATCCGGCCCAAATCAGTGGACTCCATATCTCCAAGAAAAAAATTATTGGCCTGTTGTCTTCTTCCAACCTACATTTAGTCAGGTGGCTTAGATTTAATTTTCGTCAAGATCGTGACCAACTGGTCCAAAGCACCAAACTTGGCAGATAGATTCTTATAGACCTAGAGAAGATATTTAGAAGGGGTGACACCTGAAATTCTTTTGGGAAGGGTGCCTAATTTGCATAAATCGTTAATCCCTGTCATGTAATATATTTATTCCCATATTTGGGTATATTTCTATTTTTTATTTTTTTGAAATTTGTATTTTGGGGATTCTACTTACATATCTTTACTTAAATGACATTTTCCAAAGCATATAAGTGACTGAATAATTATGAAGACATAGTAACGATCTAAAGTGGCTACTATTATGCCCTAAAATTGCGCGCATTTACCTTGTCTCCAGATATCATCAATTAGTCTTGCCAAACATCAGCATTGATGAACTTCAAATTCACCAAGTAGCTTATTGGTACAGTTACCCTATTAAAACCTTATGCAAAATCATGTGAACAATGATAACATCGTGATATTTAGCCCAGAAAACAAAAACTGGGAAAAAACGAGGTGTCCATAAATTAGGCTAACAAGTAGGTGAAGGGTTGCCTAACATAGGAGACTGGAACAAGTTCAAGGAAATTTCCAAAATTATTGTAAACAACAATAATCTCTTATTTGGGGGAATTTCGTTGAACTTGTTCAAGCCCCCACGTTACCCTTCCAGTACTAGCCCAATTTACGACACAAAATTTTCTCCCTTTTTTTGGTCTTTTGGGCTAAGCATCAAGATGTTATCAATTTTCACATGATTTCCCACTTATTTTTGTTAGGATAACTATGCCAGTAAGTAACTTTGTGAATTTGAAGCTCATCAATACCCACATTTGGCGAGACTAGTTGATGATATCTGAGGAAAAGGTACATGCGCGTAACTTTAGGGTAAAATAGTAGCCATTTTGGTTCTTTACTATGTCCTCACAATTATTCAGTCACTTATATGTTTTACAAAATGTTATTGAAGTAAGAATATGCAAGTAGAATCACCAAAAAACACTTTTCAAAAATATAAAAAAATAAAAATATACCCAAATATGGGAATAAATATATTACACTGCCAAAAATATATTTCTTATTTTGAGAAAAAAAAACTTAAAATAAGTTATTTTTTCTAGGGAGTGACACAAGAAAATATTTCTAAAGGGCCAATTCTTGTTTTAAGAAACTTTTAATTAGATTTTTTTCTAATGTTCTTGATTTAGGATAAATAATTTTCTTAACTTTTGTCAAAATAAGAAAAAAAATTCTAAATTTTTCTCAGTTATGTTTCTTATTTTAAGAAAAACTGCAAGAATTTTTTTCTTGTTACAATTTTCTAGGGAGTGACACAAGAAAACCTCTTTCCTTTTCTTGAATCAAGAATATAACCCCTTCATATTTCAAAAAAAAATCTAGTTTTTTTTCTTGTTTCTTACTCAACTTTTGTCAAATTAAGAATATTTTTTTCTAAACTTTTCTCAGTTTGTTTCTTATTTTAAGAAAAACTGCAAGAAAATTTTTCTTGTTACAATTTTCTAGGGAGTGACACAAGAAAACCTCTTTCCTTTTCTTGAATCAAGAATATAACCCTTTCATATTGCAAAAAAAAATCTAGTTTTTTTTCTTGTTTCTTTCTCAACTTTTGTCATATTAAGAATATTTTTTTTCTAAAGTTTTCTCATTATGTTTCTTATTTTAAAAAAAACTGCAAGAAAATTTATATTGCTCAATCCACCTGAAATCAACTTTTCTCAGTTATGTTTCTTATTTTAAGAAAAACTGCAAGAACAATTTTCTTGTTGCCATTTTCTAGGATTAGGAATGACACGAGAAAACCTTTTTCCTTTTCTTGAATCAAGACAATTAACTCCCAGCTGGAATTGTAATCTTGGTTTTTTTCTTGTTTCTGCTGAGGTTTTCTTGGATTCCAAAAGAAAAGACATCATAAATCTTAGTACAAATTAATGAGAATTGTTTTCCTACTACAAGAAAACAATTTTGCAAGCTAACTTCAAGGCAAAGGTACAATGTATGTATGCATTCATCCATAGCAGCAATGGATGCCATGAAGACATTCTGTTAATATTTAACAAATAAAAGTCCTTTGTTTCAGGCTTACCTTTTTTAATCACCCTGTATAGTTTGCTCATTTCAATAATAGTATTTTCACCTTACAACTTTATTTAAAAATGTTGTCACTGTCATAACTAGGCCAATATAGGGCCTACATTTTTATTGGTGAACTTCAATTCAAACCTTACTTTTGAGCATTATTCTCCAAACTTAGATTTGCTTCTCAGGCAGAGTCTAATCGCCAAACTCAGATTAACTTCTAACAATTCTAAAAATCAATTTTCATATCAGTGACTTCCACTTTATTTGTTACTTTCTATAAAAGAAAAGGAATTGCTATCTCACTTATGCTTAGTGGGTTATGTGTGCAATGTTCAACATGTATTACAGTATGCATGTACATACACATAACTTTGCAACTACCGATCCGAAACTTACACAACTTTCAATCTTTTCAATCCTTAAACATCTTCAACAATAAAGTTCATACAAATAGCCATCCTTAATCTATGATAATTAAGTTAAAACATGACAATAAAACTAACATTTGTACATACCTTTGGTAGAATAAAAACGATGGAAATGATAAGTGAATGTTCAGGCCTGACAGCTGAAACAATACACTTTTAAATTTCAGTTGGCCACTCCCCCAACAGCGCCCTCTGTTGTTCTGTCCAAAGTCATACAATTTTAATTTCATTCAAGAAAAGTTTTCTTAAAATGAGAAAGTATTTTTTTGTACAATGCATCAACAAAGAACACTTGGCAAGAATAATTTTCTTGAAGTGTAGCATTTTTGAAGACAAGAATTGTTTTTATTAACATAGGAAATATTTTCTTAAAATAAGAAAATAGATGGTAAATATGAGAAAAACACAGTTCGTAGTTCTTAAACAAATTTCTTATAATTTATTATAAGAAATTTTCTAAAACTTAGAAAATGTTCTTGTAATGAGAACAATTTTGAGAAAAAAAATCTTAAAAGAAGATATGATTTCTTCAAGTATATTTTATTAAATATTTTAAGAAGTATTTTCTTGCCCATTTTCTTTTTTCTTACAAATTATCTTAAATCTAGAATATTTTTCTAATTTCAAGAAAAGTTTTCTTAAGTAAGAAAATAATTTTTGGCAGTGTACACGGCAGGGATTAACGATTTATGCAAATTAGGCACCCTTCCCAAAAGAATTTGAGGTGTCACCCCTTCTAAATATCTTTTCTAGGGCTTCAAGAATCTATCTGCCAAGTTTGGTGCTTTGGACCAGTCGGTCACGATTCCGACCATATGCCACCTGACTAATTACAGGAGGAATTGAGTCATACAGTAGCAAATTTAACACACACATTTAATAGGATATCTTAGAACGTAGTGACAAAAGGTTTCCCAACAAACCCTTCAATATAATAATAATAATAATAATTAATTCTTATATAGCGCATTACATCATTGACACAATCTCAATGCGCTTTACAAAGTTAATAAAACAAATGTCATTAAATACACTAAAAAAGCTCATTAAAAATATTAATACATCACCAATCTATTGATTTAAATACCAAGTAAAACTCATTAAAAATACATTAAAACCACAATCAGTCAATCATCATGAATGTTATTTAAAAACCTGACGGAAGTAATACGTTTTTAGTGCTGACTTAAAAGATAAAAAAGAAGGTGCGTTCCGAATAAAATAAGGAAGCTTACTGGGTACTGCTACTGAAAAGGCACGCATGCCATAATGATTTTGATTGAAACAGGGCTGGACTAAGCGTGTTTCATTGGAGGAGCGAGTGGCTATAGAACTTTCCCGAACTGTCAACAAATCCAACAAATAACCAGGTGCATGTTTATGTAAGATTTTATAAACCAAGATAAGGATCTTGAACTCAATACGCTGTGCCACTGGAATCCAGTGAAGACTTTGGAGAACAGGGGTAATGTGCTGATATTTCTTAGTATGGGTAATAAGACGAGCGGCTGAGTTTTGAACTAATTGTAGCCTATGGATTAAATAGTCAGGAAGGCCATAAAGCAGGCTATTGCAATAATCCAGTCGTGACGTAATGAAGGCATGAATAAGTCGTTCAGTAGTGGTGCCATCTAAAACATTGCGAATTTTGCTAATGCGGTGCAAAGCAAAATATCCTGATTGGCACATTTTAGAGACATGAGTAGCCATATTACAGTGATTATCAAAATACACACCGAGATTCCTAATGACTGTGCTAGGAGTAATATCATTATTTCCAACGTGCAAACCTGACAAAAGGTCACATTTACGAAACGAGGAACGAAAATGAATCACCTCAGTCTTCGAATCATTGAAACTAAGCTTGTTCAAAAACATCCATTGTCTAATTTCCTTAACACATGCTTCAAGATGAGTCTTTGAATTATTACCATTCTTACAGGATACGTACAGCTGGGTGTCATCAGCATACAACATAAAATTGATGTTATGTTTCTTGAAAATATCGTCTAACGGTGCAAGGTATAATGTGAACAAAATTGGCCCAAGTACACTTCCCTGTGGCACACCAAAAAGCAAAGGATTCAACTCTGACTTTGCTGACCCAATGCAAATCCTTTGGGTACGACCCACTAAATAGGAAGTGAACCACTGGAGCGCTAAATCTGTAATCCCATACCTGTTTTTCAATCTATGAAGTAAAATGGACTGATCAATGGTATCGAAAGCGGCAGTCAAGTCAAGCATAACTAAAATAACCTCTTTCCGATTGTCAAGTGAAATCAAAATATAATTTTGAACTTTCAACAGTGCTGACTCAGTACTGTGATACTGCCGATAAGGTGACCGAAATTTGGATAACAATGAGAACCGGACTAAATATGCATGAAGCTGGTCAGCAGCTATTTTCTCGATTAATTTACCAACAAAAGGAACATTTGACACAGGCCTGTAATTACACAATTCATTTGGATCCAATCCAGACTTTTTAAACAGAGGTCTTATGATAGCCGTTGTTTATTCTGATGGAAAAACGCCCGAAACAAAAGATTTGTTCACAATCGATAATAAATGCGTTGAAACATAAGGAAGACCAGCTTTCAAAAAGTGAGTCGGGATCGGATCCAAAACACACGATTTAGAGTTCATTGATTTCATGAATTTGATCAGAACCTTTTCGTTAATTGTACTAAAATGCATGAATGAGTGACCAAGTTCAGTAGATACACATGGAATATCACCAGGAACATGCATCAGTTGCCCTCGAAGACGATTTATTTTGCTATTAAAAAAGTCTAGAAACTGTTCGGCTAATTTTTGATCGTTGTCGTGTTGAGGCAAATTCTTTGCTGCAGCTGCTTTGTTGCCAATCATGTCATCTATTACAGAAAATAGTTTATACGTCTCAGCAACACGATGGTCGCTGCCTTTGGTGGGCCTTGATGATCCTGACCGCATGTAGTTCAGGCGGTGTACCATCTGGGTGATCGATGTGTCTTTTTGGTGCTGGAAATATATGTTAATGATCATCATAATGCTACAAGCAAAATCTACATTTGTCTGAGGAGCATCGATACCATAACTATGTTAAAGGCACAATTCTTACCTGCTATTTGAAGTAAAATGACATGTGGAGTACCGTTGTGCTGTCCAAAGATTTTCAAGTATACACACACGTGCAGTGTAGTGTGACTGATGTCGCAACATATCAACTGTTATTGGGCTATGATATTCCTAGACCAATGTTGGCTGCAAGGTTATATTGGGTGCATGGCCCAATGTTGTTGGTTGGATGTGTCGGCTAAATTTCATCCTGCCAACATTGGCAAGATACCTAATACATGATGATGATTGGATGGCATAATGGCAAAACGACGTTGGCATGATGTCCCAAGACCATCGTTGGCTGCAAGGTTGTATTGGGAACACGACCTGACGTTGTTGGTCAGACATTTCGGCTGTAATCATCCTGCCGACGTCAGCAAGATATATGATGTTGATTGGACGTCATAACACTGATGTAGGCAGGCCACCTGCTAAATGGCATGTTGGCAAGACATATTCTAATTAAACAACATCGGCAAGACATTCCATGACCGAAATTGGCTGCGAGGTTGTATTGAGAACGCAGCCCGACATTGTTTGTCGGACATGTTGGCCTAATTAAACCATCCTGCCCACGTCGGCAAGATGCCTAATATCTGACGTTAATTGGACGTCATAACACTAATGGAGGTTGGCCACCTGCTTATTATGTATGACGGCAAGACATATTTTTAGCCCACATTGGCTGGATGTTCCAATACTGACGTTGGGTACAAGGTTGTTTTGGGAACACAGCCTGATGTCATTGCGTGGATGTGTGGGCTAAAACTCAACCTGCCGACATCGGTAGGAAACCCAATGTATGATGTGAGGCTAAAAAATAATAACCACCATAGGCTGGCTGTCTGTTGCAGGACAAGATGTATTTTGACCGATGTTGGCAAGATGTTCAAAACCCAATGGCCTTTTTAAGGACGTCGGCGAGACTAACTTTGAACGACTCCAACCATTTGCCAACCAATGACCGACTTAAACCGACTTTGGGCAAACTGCAGTGTGCCACCCGAGAAGAGAGATATTAACAACAGTAATTTTAGTGCTTCTAAGTATCTCATTTTCCCAAACGTGAGCCAATAGGATTAAAACTCATTGGAAGTGTTTGAAATATCAGATTGGAATTAAAACTTAGCAAAACATAGTATTGTAAGCGTTGGATCCCTGAATTTAAACCTCTAACTGTTGAATCAGATGTCGAGGTACATGTATTCCATTATGTTAGCTGTTAGGAAACAAGTTCTCCCTAGCATACTCAAACAAATAATGAACCTCTTTACTTTGTTCACCCTTCTTGTGCCATTAAGGGTTGTATCATTTTTAGACTAGACTGTATTCACTAGGCCTTAACAGGGATTGTGGCTTTTTGTCACACTACACCATTGGCATCTGATTGATCACAATCCTGTTTTACTGTACATTGTACATGGAGTCCCCCTTTATTTCTTGTCGAAAAGCTACAGTCCATCATTTGCAGCTATCCAAAACGTAATTATTGTTAAAAAACATACTTGGTTGAAAGATAGTAAGGGAACTAAACTCCGTGTGAAATTATTCTTTATGACATGCTGTCATTTTGCGCGTGCAAGCTTTGACACAATGCATACATCCATGCACGCGTGGTTGCTTTAATTCATAGGATCAGTGCGCGCCATCGCGTAGCTGCAATCGGCTCAGCGAGAACGTGTCTCAGTTGCTGAATTTTTGTTGCTTCAAAGAAACAAAATGCACAAATTACAAATGATGAAATTACCTTTAAATGCACATTCTCATTCTGGTTAGTCATTTAAAGTGCTACCTTATTTTCCATTTGATTCTGCCTGACTAAAATGGCTGCCCACTACTTTCACTTGATTATATGCACAGCGAGGACTTTAAAATAGGATAGTTATTTGTCTCTTAATTTATTGTTGAGAAGGGGTGATTTATTTTATTCAACAATGCTTCTTTCTTTAAGTTTATTTCTTGAAATATCTTTCTAATTCAGTGTGAACCTGGAGCATAACAGTTTGCAGTCATTCTGTGGTCTTGTCTACCTGGTGAACCTAAGGGTATGTAAAATAACTGTATTCTAATCGTTCTAATTACTGTTTAAAATATAGCCCCTCCCTTTTATCTTTTCCTCTGAACAGCTTTAATTCTAATGTCTTTGTTGAGAACAATAAATAAAGCTGCAGAAAACCAAATCAAAAGTGCAGCCAATAAACAAACACCTTTAAATGTCGTCACATTTTGCAAAATTTTTGATTGTGCTCCGGCGTTGCTGCTAAGGCTCAACCAAATTTCCATATGCAAAGGGTATGATTTGCTATTCTGCATTATTTTGCTCTGCACAAACTAGACTTACAGTAGGGCACATGGTGCTTCTAACTTCTCAGTGTCATTATTTGAGTGCCCATTTATTTTTATACGAAAGCAACAACAATTGGCTTGAAGTGTGCATTGGTCAGGTGGCTTAGATCTTAATTTTTGACATGATCGTGACCGACTGGTCCAAAGCACCAAACTTGGCAGATAGATTCTTAGAGCCCCAGAGAAGATATTTAGAAGGGGTGAAACCTTAAATTCTTTTTGGAAGGGTGCCTGATTTGCATAATTTGTTAATACCTGCGTGTAATATTATTATTATTATTATTATTATTATTAATGGTTTATTTTATTAAAATTTCACGGCCATAAGGCCGAATTGCAGTTTAATTTACACACATTAAAAATCGTTATATATTAAAATTACAGAGAATTACATCGTCTGAAAGATACATTAAAAAGGTAAATCACAACAAAATACACACAAGTAATAAAAATTAAAATCATTCAAATCCGACTGCGTAAAATATTGAGTGAGCTCTATACGTTCATGCATACCCAACCCACTACATGTAATAAGTTAACCAGAAACTGTGACCAACAACGAGTTCCTTCATAAAAAGAGGTCACATATCTTTGTTAATCAGATCAGTTAAGTAGGGAGTAGAGCTGCATTTGTACCTGTTAGTCCTACAGCGTATTGTGCTGAGATGATCATTGTTCCTTAACCCATTGTTCCTAATCGGGGGCAGCCAGTCTCTGAATTTGTGGGAACTGAGTAGTGATTTGCCAAACACGGAACACAATTGTTCTCTGCGGTGGGAAAGTGGGGGAACATTGAGTTGGGAACATATTCCACTGTAAGACCTATTGAGACAATATTCATAAGACAAAATGATACGAAAAGCCCTGCGCTGTAATTTTTCTAGACATTCCTCTTGCTTTTTTGATAAACATGAATGCCAGACAGGGATCGCATATTCTAGAGTAGGTCTGACATATTGAATGTACACAGTAACCAAATCTGGAATGGGGACACCATAACATTTTAACTGACGTAGGAAAATCAATCTACGATTGAATATTTTACACATAGCAGCAACCTGTTTGTCCCATTTGAGATTATCTTGTATTAGTAAAGGAGATTTTTTTATATATTTATTCCCATATGGGGGTATATTAAAAAAAAATTGAAAAGTGTGTTTTGGGGATTCTACTTACATATCTTTACTTAAGTAACATTTTCCAAAGCCTATAAGTGACTGAATAGTTATGAGGACATTGTAACGATCCAAAATGGCTACTATTGAAACAAAACCTACTCAGGGATCCGCCAGTTAAGTGAAAGCAACACAAAAATAATTTTAGAAGGAACAAGATGTTTCAATTCTGTTAGCCACTGGTCAATTTCTTGTGACTGTTAATTCAAGAATACTTAAATTATTATTATTATTTACATCAAATTTGGCAGTATGGATTCAGTGATTATAAAAATAGTAAACAAGCGGAAGTTCATGAAAAAACTAAGAATGATTGAATTACGTGCAGTACATGTCAGACAATTATAAGGACATGTACATATTAGTTTGAATCCTGGGCGAACAGCCCACTAAAAATGTGTTCTAGTTTCAAATTTGTAGTCGAACACAAACAAGGCCAAAGGCCAAAAAAAAAGGGAAGAGAATAACAAACTAGTTTACTTGTACTTCCTGTGCATATTAGCCCATCAAATGGCAAATCGCCTTTTAATAAATATTTCCTAGATTGCTATCCAAGGGGGACAAATCAACCCCTCGCCGATAAGCAACCGGACCCTACCAAAAAGCACCCACCAAAACAGGAAAGCCACATGCACAGAAAGTAAATCAGGCAAAATTATTATAATTACAGTCTAGCAAATACACTATCCCAATTTAATACAATCATAAGATATAAAATGAACGAGCACGGCTGAAATGGGGCACGGGGCACATTACTGCATGTAAAAGAAAAACCTACGTACAACACCAATAGGTTGGCAACTGAACTTCGGTAACAATTTGAGCCATCTTGACAGGTCCAAAAGTAAAAGAAATCAAGCTCAAAGAGACATGTTTCTCCTACCACACCCAGTCCTAAATCCTCAGTGGGCAAACATGTGCGCAGGGTTTTTATACTGGTACTGCTAGCCTAGTACTTTTCCACTGAACTGGAATGCAATGTAAGTAATCTATGCAAATAATTAGAACACTCCTGCCTTAATACAGTGAACTGCTTTTGGCGAGCCCATGCTAATCCATGAATTGCTAAATGTGTCAATTGAATAGAGAGCCAGGCTAGTAGAAAAAGGAACAATTGGCTTGGCCAGCTGGTGGAAGCTCTAATTTACAAATGCACCCTGGTATGTGTAGTGAATGACTTTTCAGCTGGCACATCTATCAATAGCACTACAAATTATTCCATTCCTATATAGTATTAGACAGCAAATTAAAGTTGTTTTCGCTACACTATGATGCCCTAAAGTTGCGCGCATTATGTCTCCAGATATCAATTAGTCTTGCCAAACATCAGCATTGATGAACTTCAAATTCACCAAGTTGCTTACTGGTACAGTTACCCTATTAAAACTTTATGCAAAATCATGTGAACAATGACAACATTGTTATATTTAGCCCAGAAAACAAAAACGGGACAAAACGAAGTGTCCGTAAATTAGTCTAACAAGTAGATGAAGGGTTGCCTAACGTGGAATACTGGAACAAGTTCAAGGAAATTCCCAAAATTATTGGTGAGAAAACGTTTTGGCGTAGACAAAATTATTGTAAACAACAATAATCTTTTATTTGGGAGGATTTTGTTGAACTTGTTCAAGCCCCCACGTTACCCCTCGCCTATAGTAGCCCAACTTATGGACACCTCATTTTCTCCCCTTTTTTGTCTTTTGGGCTAAGCATCAAGATGTTATCAATTTTCACATGATTTCCCACTTATTTTTGTTAGGGTAACTGTGCCAGTAAGTAACTCTGTGAATTTGAAGCTCATCAATACCCACATTTGGCGAGACTAGTTGATGATATCTGAGGAAAAGGTAAATGCACGCAACTTTGGGTAAAATAGTAGCCATTTTGGTTCTTTACTATGTTCTCATAATTATTCAGTCACTTATATGCTTTAGAAAATGTTATTGAAGTAAGGATATGTAAGTAGAATCACCAAAATACACTTTTCAAAAAAATAAAAAAATAAAAATATACCCAAATATGGGAACAAATATATTACACGGCAGGGATTAATGATTTATGTAAATTAGGCACCCTTCCAAAAAGAATTTGAGGTGTCACCCCTTCTAAATATCTTCTCTAGGGCTATAAGAATCTATCTGCCAAGTTTGGTGCACGATTCCAACCATATGCCACCTGACTACATACCGATAGATTTTTGTAGTGACAAGTGGCGCACAAAAAGTACTTTGAACTCTGAGGAAAGAAGATATGGGTCTGAGCATATAATCAAAATAAATAAATTTTGTTTGTCAAACACAAGTAGTTTAGTGGGAAGAAGGGGTTATCGTGCACCCTCGGAAATCAATTTCTAACTGACGTCTCTAGGTCAGATAAAATGCGTAGAAAATGATTTGCTATGTTAAAAATTTTTTAAAATCTCCCAGAATTACGTGATAACGATCATCATTTTGTGCTAACACGGAAAAATTTTGCGCTAACCCTGTAAGCACTAATCCCTAGTTACGGGTTGTACGCATGGCAGAAACAAAACCTGTGAAATACACTTACCTTTTTGCTTATGGTAAGCAGAGCCATGAAATTGGGCTCTGGTTGAAAGGAAACTAACCTAATGTCTTATTTCTGAGAAAAGATGGGAAAAAAACAGTTGTTAGATCGGACGCGGCAGATATTTTGTGGCATACGTGTAGCCTTGGAAACGACATTTGCCACACAAGTGTTTTTATTTGAAGTATTCGGTCCCTTTCTAAACGCACACTGAGGCAGTAGTACTTTAGTGCTGTTGTATTTGGTGCTTATGGTGGAGGTGGTGGTTCACTGTAATTACACAAATTACAATATTTCACTTTAGTATTAACAATTACAGAAAAACATAATAAACCATTTAGATTAACTAGTCAAACATATGCGATTGAGCTTGAGCCTTCACTTGACATAGTGTGTACATTATCCCTGTACGTGTAATTAAACACACCCCAAAACATATAAATCTTTACTTTAAAAGCTGCAAATATCTTAATAAATCACTCAGAATATGATAAATTATAACCATGAATAAATCAACAAGGCTTACCGATTGTGTTGGATCCGAATCTACAACATTTGGGACTTAGAAAACCTGATAATTTTACAATTATTTGGGGAGATAAATTTGGTACATGTCCATTATTTACGAATCATCGGAATCATAAAGAGTTTAAACTTTGACCTTACAAATGCATGATATCAAAAGAGGGCGCTTTTACAAAAGTACGAACACAATACAATACAATATTTTATTTCATCACAATTAAAAGACATAAAAACAATATACATATATTTAGACACGTAAAAATTTAGAATTTAGAGTAGAAAACTTGAGTTTATGAAAAGGTAATAAGTATAAAACCACCAGCAAAAATCCCTACTTTGAAAAAAGAGAAGCTTGAAAACGAAAAGCTTATTGTTATAAAAAAGTATTCAAATCTGCATGCTAATATGCTAGGTTATTTATTTTAAAAGGTCTAATCTGAATTGTAAAAACATTGCAAACAGACAGTATTTATCTGATAAAATTAGAATTATAGAGATGAATGGCACTAGGTAAAAAAAGAAAAATCTGAACCGGTTTGTGTGAGTGGGGAGCACTGTAATCGGGAACGATTAACGAACAGTTTTACCGCAACAAACTAATATTTCCAATCAAAGGTATGCGTGATCATAAATTAAAGTTTAGAAAACACTTTGAAATAACAACTATGAATAAACCCAAATTAAATTTCACAACTTGCCGCTACAGTACACATATGATTTCAGCCGTGTCCATACAATGTAATATACACGTTGTCTGTGTGTGTCACGTTATACAAACAGCACTCGCATGTTTTTCGCAACTAGCACTCACCTTGATTTTTGAGAGTCAAAATTTTGACCCCAGAAATTCATTCTCGCAAGAATAACACAAAACCACCCAGTATATTTAATAATGGCTGAGTGCACATTTATATCCTACTTTAAAATACTCTTTCCAATAATTAACATCATTATGTTTGAAACGCATTTTGTAGCCCAATTGAGCACATTCCAATTGTATGTATCATTTGCAGTTGTCCAATGAATAGGGGCAAGTAGGTGAAATGTTGACGAAAGGTTTTCAAATTTTAAAGATAACTTTGATGTGCCGCTAGAGGGTGCCGTCTCGGGTGATGACGTCATAATGCTTGGTTTTTTTTGGAAATATAATATTTGTGGCCAAATCTGACATTTGTTTGATGGTGCATTTTGCTAGTGTCCAAAATCATATTTAGCCCATCCAAAACATGAAGGGGTTGCTTGGTTAAATGGAATCCCACTTCCAATTGCAGTTTTCACACTTTTTAATGATAATGAATCCATGAAATCATGTTGTCTTCTTTGCTGTTAGCTTCAAAGGTTGTGAAGTGATGTTAACAAAATAATGCAGGGCAGGAAGAAATTTAGTGGGTTGGCCAAACTTTTACAGGGGCAACATAATATGTTAGCAGGGCGGCCAGTACACTTAAAACTTCTTGTGGAGAACACACCTACTGCATTAGTAAATGTGTACTTTTTCAATTATCTTATTTTACCATCTGGATGATTACGTGTGTATTTATAGTGCCAAATGTATATGCTACATGTTTATAAAAATTGTACCTCACTGACATTTTGAAACGGCAATGTGTAAATATTTTTTACGATGGTGGACACCATTCAGACTAATGGCGTGAAACAATGTTTTGCCACATTTTTCTGAGTGTATTCTTCAGTTCCATTTATGAAACCCTAATTGTATGTATTTACTATTAATTCAGATGTATGAAAGATAAGCTTGGATGGCAGTGATTTATTTACGTTTATGAAGTTCGCTTCAAGAGACTTTTCAAGTTGGTTCCTTTCAGCTTTCATTGGTGCCACGTAATTGTTTTAGGCAAAGACTGGAGTTCAACATAGGGATATTAACAAGACATGCTTTTCTACCCTCAGAATGAATGGATGGAAGCATCATAGCCAGAAACCTCATTGTTTTTGTTATTTAAAATTGAGCTTGGCCATAACAGAAAGACATCTAAATACATCAGTGTGTAAACACCTTCAATCGTGGACCCCTTTCGTCCCTATTTTGTTTGCACTCTAACTTTTTAGGAAGAACTCCCATATTTTTTGTAAACATTTTGTTTCTTTTAAAATCTAGACTCCATAACAGACTGTCTATTGACAAACTTGTTGGTCTGTTGTCCCTTTTGTTACTCTATGTGTTCAGTATGTCACAATTAAGGAACCTTGGTAAATGACTGCACAAGTTACTGTTTCTATTTGATTTTTCCTTGGGCTTCAGGTGCTGTGTTTGAACCACAATCATATTGAATGTATCTTGCCGCGCCCCAAGGCTTGTGGAAGTAAAGGATACCTAAAGGGATACAGAGAAGACCTGACAGACATTTATAGCCCTGGGAATTTCACACCCATTCTAGAAAATCTGGAAGTACTCCATCTAGGGTAAGATTTGAATTGGTAAATGTGTTAAAGAAAAGAAAAAAAATTATGTTTAAAAATGTTCACAAATGTTTTCAAAGGCTAGGAAGCATTACTTCAAGTAGAAAGAGTGTGTAACAACTTAGACACAACTTCATGACATGGGCATGACATTAGTCACATTATTCACAACTTCATGACTTAGTCACAACCCGTGACATGGAATTGATAAACTTCAATATTAAAGTTGCACACCCATGCTTTTCAAAATAAAAAATGGACTTTGTATTCTATCCTAACAAATGTTTAATTTGTCTGTTTTGTTTCAACAGGGACATGGTTTTCATTTTACGTACAAATCTCCCCATGAGAGCAAATGTTTGATCTTGTAACCAATAAATCCAATTTTGTGAAGAATTGTTTGTTTATAAGTGTCATTCAAAAGTGAATAACTTTCATATTGCCTTGAAAATAGCAATTGGCAAAAAATATCTATTTTTTTGGGTGGTGACACTCAAAAAATAGCATGGGGAATGCATCTTGAAAACATAAAATATACAAATGCCATGTAGGAAACGTATTTGAAACTTATTATCTGTATTTTTTTTTGGAATGTGGTTTATTTCTAACAATGTTTTCAACTGGTGCTTTTAACTGAAAAGAAAGTAATTAAGTACACAAAAATGGTGTTTCAAGCTGATTTCTACGACAGGAAAAAAGTTGTATGTATAATTCTTATTTTAATCATTTTAGAAAATAATATTCTATTAGAATGAAATTCCGCTATGATACTAAAAGTTCTTATGCATATTATTCAATTGTCCAAAATGTACATGTTTGTCCACTTTGGAACTGACCACATACTACAAAAAGGTGCAGTAATTGGGTCATAACTGTAGAGGTGTACATGTTCTACATAACCTGCTGAGGACCGTCACACAAAGGGAAAACAACAGATCCTTTCAGTCCTTGGGCATTGGGTCTTTTGTTATATGCTTAGTCTATGGGAGAGTGTTACAGCACAGGGACAAAGGGAAACACAAAGCATTGTCCTCAAGAGTATAGTAAAACACGACTGTCTGTACACGTGAGTGTCAAAAGCACTCAAACACGCCTATGTAAAATTAAGTTTGCAACTTTAGTAGTACCATAAATGTGATACATACGTATAATACTTTTATTAAGTACTTATGCTAGGTATATCAACACTTCTGCAAATGCCTCTGTTATCCTTTTTTTTCAGATATAATGGAATCACTGACCTAATTAGGCTTCAGATTAGCCGTTTACCATCTCTCAAGGCTCTCTTCTTACAAGGCAAGTTTGTATATTGGAACTTGAAAATATGTTTTATCATATCTGCAAAAGTTTGGTACTCCATCCATCAATTTCATTAATTTTGTTACCTCTCTTCCAGGAAACGAGATCAGCAAAGTGGAAGGCCTTGATAGCTTACAGGATCTAAGAGAGATAGTTTTGGATCGCAACAGAATTAAAGGGCTATCAGAGTATTCTTTCATGAATCAGTGGAACTTAGTGGAGCTTCACATGGAAGAAAACAGACTAAGAGATCTGTCTCACTTGCAGTATCTGGAGAATCTTCAGAGGCTGTATCTTGGCAGTAATAGATTACAGGTACATTGGGAACTTACATTGGGAACTTCTTTTTATAAACTAAATTCAATATTTTTTGAAACTCTACTTTTTATATAACTTTAGTGGTGTGCTACATGTAACAGGAAGTCTTGTTTATGTTTATGTTTTTATTCTCATATCAAAATCAGTTGTCAATTAAGATACTAAATTATGACCTGAATGGATATGTTCTGTAGATTCTTGAGTTTAAGGTGGTTTCATGCAATACATGATGATATCATATCCTGTCACTTTTGTGGAACACTTTTCATATGAGGTCTTTTGTCTGCGCATTTTTAAATGCCACAAGTTTTGCAAATATCTATGTTGGTCTTAGTTTGTGATGAACAGATCTATGTTTGTAACAGATAATCTACTTCACCTTGTGCACTCACCCTACCAATATACATAGCCACCATGGGCGTCGCCAGGATTTTTTCTAGAGGGGGGCAAATTTTTTTTTTGCCAAAAAATGCTTGTATTTCTCAACACATTCTCGATTTATCAGTTTTAGAGGGGGGGCAGGGACATTTTGCCCCTCCCCCCAACTCATTAAATTTACACCACTTTGTCTTCGCGCCTCTTTTTCTTTTCTTTTTTTTTCTTTTTTTTTTCTTCCTTTTTTTTGTTTTTGTTTTGTTTGCTTTTCCAGGGGGGGGGGGGCAAGTGCCCCCCCTTGCCCCCCCCCTCGCGACGCCCATGATAGCCACTAATCATAAATACCTGCGATGGTTTACCTAATTCTATTGATCAAAAGCCTGTCAAGTAGGTGGTCTTAAACAGTTGTTTAAACACCGATCAGAATTGTTTTTGATGGTGTAGAGACCCTGCTCTCCGTGCCAAATACATGCCAGCTAAAGCTGGTTGCTTGAGAAACACTGATAATCCATATAAGGAAATATTGAGCAAACCATACGCATGACTTTTCCACTTTTTATGGTTTTTAATTGAAAAGGTATTTCAAAATGAGGATAATTTGTGATGGAGCAGTTATAAACATGACATTTAAAACCATTTAGGTTCTTTATCACCGATAATAGCCCGGGCCAAAATTGGCAGACACTTGGCCTCTGTAAAATCGAAGGGGGGGGGGCTTTCAATTTTTGATTTTCCACGGCCCCAATATCCAGGGATTCCGGTGCCAGGGCTCGTCTGCTCGGACGGTGATTCAACTTTGTTCCCCTCAGCCTTTGTTTTCTCTGAGTGGTTCACTAACATCAGACTTCCTGACTGCTTCTGGAGTCCCTCTACAATCTGAGGCGGATTCTTCTCCTAAGGAGAAGAAGCAGAAGAAACGCAAGTCGAAGGATATGTATACTGATAGTTCTGTCGGCCACAAGCGGCATAAGTTCTCTCATAAGGACACGGCTTTGCTTCAAGCAATTCAGAACTTGTCTGAAACCTTTTCAGCCTTTTCAAAACAGACTCCCGCTGCTGATCTGGACTTATCGCCCCCCTTCCCAGCCTTGACCGCCTCCAAACCCTAACATACCTCACACGAGTTCCACTCCACCGGACTCTCCAATCATGTCGGTATTCGCCCCTAGTTCTTTCGGCACTCCTATGGACCTGCCGTCTGAACCTCCCGCTGAAGACCAAGATGTTGTCTCTTCTCAGTCACTTCATGAGGACGAGGCCGAACATGAAGAAGACTCCATGGCCATGCTCTATCGCTTGGTACAACGAGACATGGCACATGTATTGGGATTTCCTGAGCCCATGAAGCTGGCACCTCGTTCAAACAGCTCCCGACTCACGAGTCACTCCCGATCCTACCCCAGTGGTTCCCTTCGATCGGGTTTGCTCGCAACAGATTCAGTCTGTGTTCGACCAACCCAAACTGCGTCGTCCTATAATTCGCCTCTTTGAGTTTATACTCCTTCCCGGCAGACGACATGACTCAGTATCTTACCATGCCTACCATTGCTGACGACGTGCCTGATAAACTTGCATCCGATTCTGGTCATCGGGCTCCGACTACATCCTTGTTCCCAGACACTGCTCAGAACCGTAACGAGAAGGCGTTTCTGAACATTGACGGCACCGCTCGTTTTGGTATAACCCATACGGCGTTTTGCCTCCTTCTGTTCGAATACTTATTCCAGGGGTTTCAGACCAATTCCACCATCCCGGCCGAAATGCTAGGCTCTGCCTTTCGCTGTCTGGACCATTCACTTCGGGCAGTTCTTGGCAAACTTACTCGTGTTTGTTGTCATAGCATGGAGATATGACGGGCAGCAGTTTTGGATGCCGTATTTCTGCCCACCGATGGAGCTCGCAAGCGTCTTGAGTCCCTTCCCATCCAGGAACGAGACCTCTTTCAGGTTTCAGTCTCGTATTCAGGCTGATGCTGACCGTATCAAGGCTACGGAGAAGATTAATGTGGGCAAGGTTAATCCCAAACTGCCTCCTCAGCCCTGTTGGGTAGTACCTGCAGCCAGAGGCTGGGGCATCCAGCGGCACTCATCAGCTACTGGCCCTTCCTTTCAACCCTCTCAGCCATTTATACCCCGTCGTCCTCCGCCTGAACCGTCAAGCCGTGGTTTTCGTTCCACTACTCGACGGCCTGCCAATCAACAGGGCACCTCCTGCCCTTCAGCCTCGACCGCCGCCCCCCGGCAGCAATTCGGCTGGCGGAAGTGACTATGCTCAGTGACTATGGGCCCCATCACAGGACCTGTGGGAGCCCATTTGGCCCATTTCTCACGTAATGTGACGTGTCGTGCCATCTCTCCTGCGTCAGGACCGGTTTGATTGGTAGCATTCTGCCTCGATGGTGTCCAGTCCCTGCAGAGGTGAGCCACAGCACCAGTTATATGCACTTTCAATATGCCGTCACATGTCACGTGATTTTGTCATGACATCACTTAAATTCTCATCTTAAACACATCCCGGTTTAGGTACATCCCAAAATTCGACCCAATTAGACCTGTAATTTTGGAGATATAGACCTTTAAAATATATTGTGACCCCCGATGACGTCATCGTGACGTCATGTCAATTTTCATCTATAACACATCCAAGTCTAAGCAGAGTGGGGCGAGGGCTGGATGTTATAGAAAAAAGCGAGGGCTGGATGTTATAGAAAAAGTGAGACAGTTTTTGTTTTTACTGGTAACCTGACCCTTGGAAAATCAAAGGGGGGAGGGAAGGGTTGGACAGCATCTTTCTATGGAGCACCCTTCAATGTGGATGCTACTGTTTGTGAATTTCACTCTTCACTGCTCGCACTGTCACATGCCCAGCTTTTGTGTGATCTTGGCAACTCTGCATCTTTTGAGATACTTGTTGCATATAGCCTGTAGGTTCTCCGCAAAGCTGATTGGGAAGTTGTAGATAGTAAACTCCTATGTAAGTCTTGGAAGGCTTGCATTGTTATACATCCACAGCTTCATTGATTCCATTTCTCTAGCATTCATGCCAATTGCCAGCGTGCAATAGAGGGCACTATGGTGACATGTTCATTCATAAAAGGCTAGATGCATATTAGAACCTGTGTTCTGCACTTTTTTATGTTTTTTTGTACCTATACAAAAAGCAGTGCCGGTGTCACATGAAAATCCGACTCCTATGAAAATCGGACCCCTATTTCCCTATTATTGTTTGATCCCTCGCACGTGACAGGTCACTCTCCCGAAACGATCCTAAAAATAGCATAGTATCGTACTGCGCAGTACTACTAATGAGTCCACATTTCATGGAGTCGGATATTCACGCTACACCTGTCTAACTTTTTCCTTTAATTTATAGTACGCTAGCAATTTCAGCTCAAGATTCAGTAGCGCAACAGCATGAAACAGGCAGATTGCACGTCAATATCAGATTATTTCTTTTGTGTTTAATAAAGACCAGCTTAAAAAAAACGCGGAAATCGGCAGATTCACAGAAGAGTTTCATGCCTAATCTGAATAAGTGCCCTTTAAAAAAAACCTTGTGCCCTTTTTGTGCTAGCGGCTGTTACGAGTGCATATTGTTAATTAGTGTGCATAATCGTGGGTTTTGAACAGTGCCCCCACTGACAGATGGTACCAGCCCCCCCCCCCCCTTCACTATTAGATTTTGTGGAGGCCAAGTGTCTAGAGAAAAGAACGTGTCTACATTTTCATCACGGATGTGCCAGTGCCCTTTTTAAGAAATTGTTACCACCCCCAATAAAAATGAACTTTCTACGCCCCTGCATATAGACCACAGACTGTATTCTGTGGCATTCTTGTCGCATTTGTCTGTTTGGTGCAAATTTCTTCATGGCATTGGCTTTACACCTAATAGCTGGCTTGTCTTCTATTTATGTGTGTCTATATCGGAACTCTTTATCAGTGTCAACCAAGGTCTGGCATCCTTCTGGATCTTCGGATGTTAGAGTTAGGTCATCTGCAATTGTTGTGATGTCAGAAGTATGTTGGTATCCAGCATGCTTTATTTCATCTACAAGAACTAGGCACAGGCTGAAGACAAATAGAAATTGTATGCATGTTATCGGGCAGCCTTGGAATACTCCAACAAGGCACTATATCCAGTCTGTAGTCCAATCTCTGGTCTTAACTTGGATGAAGTGGTCATTGTAGTAATTAAAGACAAGCTTGCCGATATGTTCAGGTATATAATACCACTCAAGCGCAAACTGGATGAGTTAGTATGGGACCCATGCGTTTTGAATGTCCAGCCAAGTTTTCACAATCTGTTTTCCTTTTTTTTTTCTTGCCATCGTAAAGCATTTTAGTAAGTGCTTCAGTGTGTTCTACGCATTCTGAGATTTTCTCCATGAATCCCTTTTGGAAGGATTGGTCAATATATCCATTTGCACAGCGATATGCTATTAATCTTGGAGCAAGGATTTCTGCTAGCATTCTTCTCTGTTATTGGTATGAAGAGTGAGAGATCTTTTGTATTTTCACCTTTGGGAATTAGGATTGTTTCTCCAATTCTCCAGCTCAAAGACATAACTGCAGTCCTCCATATACTGCAGATTACCCTATGAAGCAGCTGTGTGATTGTGATCT